GCATTGATGTCAACGCGGAAAAGCTTCTAATAATAATAATAATCTTTCGAAAGTCTAATAATGTCATATCCGTCGATGGTGTCGAACTGCAGGTCCCATTTGGTGAGCTGCGATTGGATTTCTCGTCCCCGCAAGCAGAAGTGCAAGGAGAGTGTCAGCCATACATATCTGTGAACAGATACAAATTGCAATTGAAAACAAAGAGATGATAGAATCAGAAAAAACCTTGACTGGGGAGAATGCAGTTGAAGACACTACTGCACCTGTACTTATGGTTGATTAATATACTTGTAGTGGTAAAGACACACCTGGCAATATGGCGGTTAACACACGCCTGCCCACACACGCTCTCTAGTCAAGCTCCGTATGAAGACATCCAAGAAGAAGTTTGCCTGATGAGTCCATCGGGGACGAAACGTACGTCGCAATCGACCTATGTCGTTGCTGTGTCATCTTCTATGTGCCATGAGCTACTTGATGTATCAGCCTGCTATGCCGGATACCGCCAACCATGCATCAACGAGGCGCCAGGCGCGAACTGATGGTGGTGGTGGTGATACGGAGAGCTCTGTGCCAGAACTTTGCAGCTTAGAGAGCGTGTCTGGGCAGGAGTGTGTTTACCGCCATATTGCCAGGTGTGCCTTTACCACCATATTAATCAACCAGAAATAAGCTAAAAAAACAACAACATTAAATTCAACACAAGCACGACAACAAGAAGCACGACAATAGAATTACAAAAGAAAACACAACATGAGGTTGTCGTTACCTGGTAAGGTGGACACGATTGTCTGGTGTTTCCACATACTCGCAGTGGTCCATGATGGTCTTCCAATCACTGTCTGAAACCGCATCCTTGTGTTCGACCGCTGGCTCTTCTCCGTTCTTCTTCTTCTTCGCTTTGAGCACTGCTTTCACGATTTTGTTCGATTTGTCAAACTCTTTCCCTGTCGTGAGCACAAAATCTCTTCCAATGGCGGACAGATGACGCTGTATGGCGCCTCTTGCAGCAAAGTACCTAGCTCGTTTGTACAGGGTCTCGTCTTTCTTCTTCAAATTAAAGTGGCATATCACCCAAGAATTATCTAAAAAATTGATTTTGTAAATTCATGTCGAGTGCTAAATCAGTTCAAAGAGCATGAATAGCTGCAAAATCTCTGAACATTTTGTCTCGATCTGACCAGCCGTTCAAGAGTTATGGCCGAAAATGTGCTCTTGCAAGTAAAGATATTTTTGTTGCACGCAGTCATTTTTTGGCAGCACTATATTTGATTCTGAGCAGACCGCGCGCAACTTGTATCATGGAAACACGCGAAAGTGAGCAGAATTTCGCGTCCAAAAATCTTGTTTCTGGCCATGTATTGGGCTTTAATCAGAAAGGACATTCTAGTGAGCATCCGCAATATTCCTTTTCCGCGAAGTAGGAAAATTAGTACATTTGAAGTACTAACATTTGCACTTTTTGACCGGTGGATGAACAAGGTTCAGAGAGCCATTTCAGCCCAGTACAATGACGGAATGATCCAAATAAGGTGCCAGTAATCACGATAAATAGGATATTGACCGAGAGGAGGTCAATATTGGAAATATAGGCCGAGTAAAAGACCGAGGTCCCCTAGGTCTTTTACGAGGCCTATATTTCCCATATTAACCTGGTCTCGGTCATTATCCTATACGTATCGTAATTATTTAGAAGGATTCTCCAAAAGCAAAGGAAATCACGGAAGTCTCCTACATAAATATAGCAAGAAAAATGGGGAAATGGGGGAGAGGAGAGTGGAAGATGAAGCATGAGACGTATGAAAACAAGTACCTGAATGTAAAGGTATAAAAGCTGGAAAGAAATCGACGAGAGAAGAAATCACCTCTGCAGTTAATAGGTGGACATTAAGATGAAAAAACCTAGCAAGGATTAATTTCAAGTAGACATTCTATAGTATGGCGGTGTGAATGTTGGCTAGGAGGGCAGTGTGGAGTGGTGGACAGTTCAAATTATTTCCATATTTCAGTGTTCAACATCTACCTTCACTGATGAGCTATGTATTAGCGAAACAGCTGTCTGAAGGAGTTTATCAATATCGTCTACGGAAGTTTCCTCGCAATGGTGGTTGTATGCAGGAGGGTCTAGTCGGCTAAAGCGCGCAGTGTAATGGTGGAGGTGACTCAACATACTTCAGTAGGAAAAAAATCAGATCTGTTATCCAACTCTCTGCAACCAAATGCCACCACCGCCACTAAACAGTGAAAGGCAGTGACCAGTACAAAGATACAGCACGGATCGGCTATAGCTTTGGTGTTTGATTTTCGTGAAAATATCACTATAGGCGATATATAACTACAGGCGATATGCATACTTAGGTATGCCTGACACATGCGTGTATGGTGTCAATCGAAGTGCAAGTAGGTTCCGGGGGCATGATAAAGCCCGCGATAGGCGTCATTGTCCTTGTCATCATCGAGCAAAAACTACTAGGTAACAGGAGATGTTCAAGTACGGCCGCGGATTGGTATCATCCGTTGTCTCAAGGGGTTTCATAATGTTATTACCTGGGCTGCACTTTTTTACACCAGCCAGTGCAAGGATGCGTGAAGCGTTTTGTTGTCGAACCCGAACCTTAAGACAGGAACCTACAGCATTGATATTGTTGTTGGAACCACCTTATGTTCAGAATTTAAGCACATTGTGTAATTATGTGTGTGCTTTTTGAAACAAACTCTTACAAGTTACGACTTCCAATTTGAATGGAAATTCTTTTTGTCTACTGTTCTTTGGCATGAACTGTAAACTTCATGCAAAGCGCCTGTTCCTGTGATAGATGACCATGTACATGTACATGTAGGTACAAACCAAACAAATCACGTTTATGAAACTGCCAACCTGTGCCAGGTGTTCAGGAATGATCTGCACCGACAAGTACATGTACATGTACGTCCACTCAAGAACCATTCTCTACTGAAGGACCAGATATAAGTGGGTAGAGGAATGTGTCCTTAGGCAGTGTATACAGTATAGTATCTGCCGAGAAGCCCCGAAAGGAAGGCTGACGAAGGTCAACTTCGAGTTCTGGTTGTGATAGTCAAGTTTTCGTTTAGGTGGTTTTCCGGTTTTAAAATTATTGCGATTTTTGACCAAATGAAACTGGTTATAACTCAGAAGTAGCGAGGAACTCGGCCATTTGGAAATAATCAGAACCGTCCACCTCTCCACAGTGCGCCCTTGGCCCACATTCACAGCACCAAGCTACAAGTTCGTTCTTGGATAGATGTTCCATAACCTCAAGCCAGTTGTCAACTTTACCCTATAAATATAGTAATATACATGATTTTACTCATTACATAGCAGACTCAGCGGGTCAGTTGTCTGATGACTGACTAACGGCATGAAACTCAGAGTTACAACCAACCTGAACGTCCTCCGCTGAGTCTGCTATGTACTAAGCTTTGTCTCTGACATTGAGCACTCTCTGCAGCTTGGGGATCAACGGATTTGTCATATACTCATTCCAATATCTGCATTACATCCGTTATCTTCCTTCACTTAGGAGGTCTTAATGAGCGAACCAGCTGTCTGGAGGAACATTTACATGTACATCTGTCCATTAACGAACGTCCTGGCTAAGGACTATGGTGTTGTGAATGTGGGCAAAAAGCGCAGTGTGGAAATGCAATAATATTGAAGGTTTTTGTGCTATACAATGTAGGTTCCTCCTCTCCATGTGTACACTACACCCGCGCAACTGTAAGTTAGGGAAAGCGGTTTGGAGAATCACACAATACTGATGGCAAACGTTTTGAACACGTTCGCCTCGTGACATTTTCCGCCGTTTTTATTAGGATTTCTCCGAAAAAGACAGCAAAGTGGGTCCGGACAAGTGAACCTGGCGGTGGAAGCACAAACTAACCATGATAGTATCAGGGGAGCTAGTATTATTGCTTGGCCCCTTGCCTACGGTCGTTCCGCATGCTCAACAATACACCAGTTGTCTCTGTGTCAACTTCAATTCAACCACTATGGCCGGAATGGATACTACTTAGATGTACAAACTTGCCCAGGGTCCATGCATCAACTCTTGCTAAGGTAAGCGCACTTGAAAATACTAGTAGTAATTGCTTGGTGTAGGTTCACACATTTGCGTTTGTGCATGATGATGACACGGTACTTCAGAGTTATGGTCGTCACGGTGCGAGGTACTCCCAAACAACACAATCAAGCCTTGCATAAAAAAACACAATCAAGTCTTGCATAAAAAGCACAATCAAGCCTTGCGCAAACAATACAATGGTGTGCCAATGTTTTTGCTATTCACTCTGATATACATGTGGATCTCCCACCAAATCATGAGTTGCATTCGAACTAAGATGCATGAAGTGCTGGGGTTCCTTCTGATGCGGAAACTCAACCTGAGGCGCAGCAATCGTGAAACTGTTTCTTTAATTGATGTTAACATCACCATGGTGATGATGATCTTGCTGAAATCACCGTGTGTTCGCGAGTGAAGTATGTTATTTTGACACAAACTCTAGTAGAACGATCTTCAATGGCGGACGCAACGAATCCACCTTTTATCTGTTGTTGAGGCCAAATTGCATGAGTTGACATATCTTTGTATTTTGAGCGGCACGATCTTCCATGATTGAGGATCACAGTAATTGTGCCGTGGACGCATTGATCAGCAGGTAAAGGGAACAAGCCAATCCAAGTCTTGCTACAACCCTCGTACCGTACACTCATTCAGATGTGTTCACTAGAGGGGCGGTTGTGGTCTAGAACGTACCACATACATGTGTGTAAATGTGCACCTTGGAACTATCCAATCGCTGCATGCGAGCAACTCAGTCTGGCGTGATCGTACTCTTAGACTTTTGGACAGCGATCAATGGCCTATAAAAGACTGGCTTTCTTTGTCTAGAATATCATAACAGTTCCTTCTAAGATCTCCTGAATACTTGTTCCGAAAGGTATTACGAGGTACCATAATTGAACAAGTTGATCAATCAGCATGGACGTGCGTTCTGTGATTTTGATGGTTGGTCTATCCATTGCTCTTCCAATAGTCACTTTGGGAGCATACGTCCGTCATGAACAATACGGAGAGGAGCTTCTGGACGCTATGAGTGACGACGAGTCAGTTGAAGACTCGGACGAAGATCGTGATGCTGGTCAGAATCGACGATTTGGTAGCTACTCCGATCTCCAGAACGGCGCTCTCTATACGCACTGGGGAAGTAACACTTGCTCTGAGGCCTCACATCTAGTCTACAGTGGATTCGTGGGAGGTACGTGGTACACAGTTAAAGGAGGCGCTGCGCAGTATTTGTGCATGCCGATGGAGCCAGAATACAGCGAGTACATCCCTAAAACTCAATCAAACTCTATTCTCCAAACCGCCGAACTACAGACGCCATCTAAGTCGATTCCTGAGTTCCATAGTCAGTATCAGAATACACCAGTATGTGCCTTGTGTCAAGCGTATGGTCGGTCCTCGCAGTTCATGTTCCCTGCTCGTTTGACCTGTCCCGCTGGTTGGACCAAAGAGTATGATGGGTACTTGATGACGGCAAAGTACGATCACCAGCGTACAGAGTACATCTGTATGGACAAACAGCCAGAGGTTATGGAGGGCACCAGCAAGAATGTCAACGGCGCTCTGTTGTATTTCGTTGAAACCAACTCCAAAACTCACGTTCCGGATACATACGTCGGCGAGAAGGAGTTGACCTGCTCAGTCTGTTCAAGGTAATTACGTGCCCATGCATAGTTCTGCTGGGTCGCAATCCTTCCCCGCGAGACTGCAACATTTTGAAGTCGCCTTTTCATTCAAGATCGGAAAGTCGTACAAGTCCATACATGTATTTCTTTTCTTTGACTTCCCTCTTTCAGCTCAACATTTAGCTATCACTCAAACATCAAACCTCATCTAGCACTCTTTTGTGACCAGCTGGTGTCATTTAGGACAATGTATAATACCCTCTTTATCTGCTGATTATCTTCATCAAGTACTTCTATAAATCACACATTGTTTGTGTTGTCACAGAGGTAGCCAAGAACGGTAGAGATGCAGGATCTCGTAATAATTCCTTTTTGGCTCCGACACTCTTCTTTCTCCTCAGCCTGAATGTTTGGTCTTCACAGACTGTTGGTGTCCTAATGCTAAGTCTGTGTGTGTATCGAAATGATGTGTCCTAATGCTAAGTCTGTGTGTGTATCGAAATGATGCACTGCATTTCACGTCTTTTGCATCCATGTTTGTCTTCGCTCCACCCAACATAAACATCGTTATAATTTGGTTGTTTATGTAACAGGTTTAATCGAACTTGAAAAGTAAGAGGCCTGGTGGAGCGTGCCTCGACCAGTTATATGCAAAAGGTGATAGTATACATGTGGCAATGGCGCCAATGAAGGTGCTAATAGACAGGCGTAAGACGCATGAGGTGCGAGGGAGTGTAAAGTTATAGCAAACAGGGGAAAACTGGTACATCATCCCCCTCCTATAGAGAGGAAGGAGCTTATAACCCAAATGCTCAAGTGGAATAGAGTACAATAAGCGCAAACACGTGCGAGACGAAAAAAGGCTTCGCACTGAAGTAACACAATAAGACGACTGAAACTCCATGCAAATTAAAGTGTAATAAGCTCAACAAATGTGTTAGGTGAAAACTAGAAGTTCAACTGCAAAACTCAGCGGGCAGAAGCCAAGATTTTGTACTTCTGAAGTGGAACAATGTCATTACCAGATTCATCCAACAAATAATGTTCAGGCTCCCAAGTGGCATCAGAGTAGCCTTGCCACTTGACTAGGTACTGAAGCTGATTCTGCCGGCGGCGGTGACTGAGAATGTTCTCCACCACATAGCGGGCATGACCATCAAGGTCCGTGATAGGCGGAGGCCTAGGCTGTCTCCTATTAGGAATAGCATTCTTCTCGTAGGCACGGAGTGCCGACACATTAAATACTGGGTGACAGCGGCTGGTATGAGGCAACTTGAGCTTGTAGGCATTCGGGCCGACCACCTGGGTTATAGGAAAGGAGCCAAACCACTTGGGGCGTAATTTATGGGATGGTCGGTCCCGAGCTTCAGGAGTCAGGAGGAAATCCCGGTAGACCACTACCAAATCTCCCACCTTCAGCTTTCCCTCGACCCTTGTCCGATCTGCATAGAAGGCCTGACGAGCTTGAGCTGCCACTAGCGCATCTTGTGAGATCTTGACCGCGTCTTGTCTTGCTTGCAACCAATCAGCTGAATCTCTGCCTCCCTGAATAGGGTTGAGGAAGTCGGGTGGCGCTCTGGCATTTAGACCGTAATTTAAGAAGAACGGTGTGTTTCCTGTAGATGATTGAGTAGCGCTGTTGATAGAAAACTCACAGAGAGGTAGGAGCATATCCCAGTTATCTTGGCTATGATTTACAAAAGCCCTCAGCTCATCCTCTACTATTCTGTTTACTCGTTCAGTTATGCCATCTGTCTGAGGGTGATTGGCAGTACTAAATGCTAGTTTCGTTCCTAAGCTATCAAACAATTCCTGAAAAAATGCTGCAGTAAATCTTGGATCACGATCACATACAATACTAGAACTCAAACCATGAAGTCGAAATACATGTTGAATATACAGATCAGCACTTCCTTTAGCGTCAATAGTAGAGGAAGTAGCTGCTAAATGCACACACTTTGTCAAGCGGTCCACAAATACATATAATAGCATCATGACCTGTATCGATCCTAGGCAACCCCATGATAAAATCCATCGAGATATCCGCCTACGGCTGACTGGGCACTGGTAAATTCTGCAAGAGACCAGTTTTTAGCTGGCCGCCTTTAACTCGTTGGCAGACGTCACATGACTTGACAAACGCCTTTACATCCAGTCCCATTCTGGGCCAATAGAAATATCTAGCGAGTCTGAAATAGGTGCAATCTCGACCGGGATGCCCCGCAGTCACACAGTCATGGTATTCTTGAAGCAGGGCGAGTCGGAGTTTGCTACTCTTTGGAATGCATAACCGGTTCTGTGGTGAAGATCTGAGATAAAGATAACCGGGTGTTTCATTTAGAAGGTAACGGTCGTGCAGATTGTCATGGCTTGAATTTTTCAGTCTCCTGATAATGGGAGCAAGATCCTTGTCGCACTTGTAACCGCTGACAATTAACTGCGCTATGTCTGGATTAATCTCTAGGGTATGCTCTATGGCATTCAACTGAACTATTTCAGAATCCCTGAACAGATCTGGATGGCGTGAAAGCGGGTCGGCAATGTTTTTCTTTCCTGGTTTGTGAAAGACTGTAAAGTCATAGTCAGCTAAAAACTCTACCCATCTTGCCTCACGCTTGGTGAGAGTCGGTTTGGTTCGTAAATAGACAACACCCATATTATCAGTCATCAGGTCAAAGTGGCGGAACAGATAGATTCTCCAGCACTTTAATGCAAATACCACAGCCAACGTTTCCCTCTCGGCCGCAGTATAGTTGCGTTCTGCAGCTGACAGTTTCCGACTACAATAGGCTACGGGATGCAAATCCATATCTTCTCCCTGCTGCAGGAGCACACCCGCCACGGCAAAGTCACTTGCGTCAGTTTCTACCGTGAAGCTTTTCTCAACATCGGCCAGTTGCAACACTGGCGCCTCGAGTAATGCTGATTTTAGAGACTCGAATGCCTTCTGTCTAGCAGCGCTCCATTCAAAGCGTGAATTTTTTCCGGTGATTTCTTCTAATGGACGAGAGATGGTCGAGTGTCGATCTATGAACCTTCGGAAATAGTTTGCAAAGCCAAGAAACTTCCTCACATCAGTTACTGACGACGGAGTTGGCCATGTTTCCACAGCACTTATCTTCTTGGGATCAGGGGAAATTGATGTGCCGTTGATTTTATGCCCCAAGAAGAGAACCTCTCTCACTCCGAATTCGCATTTAGACTGTTTGCAATACAGCTCACTATTTCTAAGTGTTTCTGGAACTGTTTGAAGATGATGCTGATGATCTTCCCAGGTCTTGCTGAAAACTAGAATGTCATCCAAGAATACTACAACGAATTTTCGGAGATGCGGTTGCAGAATAGAGTTCATGAGTGACTGAAAGGTGGCCGGGGCATTAGTCAGCCCGAATCCCATGACTCTAAATTGGAAGTGGTCGAACGGCGTATTAATGGCCGTCTTAGAAACATCCGAGTCTTGAATTCTGATTTGATTGTAGCCCGACCGCAAGTCCAACTTGGAGAAATATGCACTGCCCTGGATCGTGTCGAATAAGTCATCAATATTAGGAAGACAAGCTTTGTTTTTGATCGTAATTCTATTCAATTCTCGCCAATCGCACACCATTCTCAGAGTACCATCCGACTTTTTCACAAAAAACACAGGTGCACCGTATGGCGACTTACTTGGCTCAATGAATCCCTTCTCAAGTAATTCTGACAGCTGTGACTGGAGCTCGTCCATCTCTGGTTTCGGCAAGCGGTAGGCGAGTCGAGACGGTGGTCTGGCTCCATCTTCTATCTGGATTTCATGGTCGACTGGTCTCTTCGGTGGAAGCTCATTCGGCAGCTCGTCTGGAAATAAATCCTGGTACCTCTTGAGCAGGTTCTGGATGTCCTGTTGCTCTGATTCCTGGAGTTGTGGCCCGGAACGATTCTCCTCGTTTGCAGCAGTGACCCATGCAAGAAACACCTCGGCTCCACTCCTCAGGGCATGACGAGCTTGTCGGCCACTGATAAACATGCTTTCCACAGATGGCCGGTCGGCTGTCGGCGGGTTAGCTGAAGGCAATTTGGCAACAAAGGGCTCACCGTCCAACTGAACTTCGTTCGTACGGAAGTTGATGCTAGGGTTGTTCCTTGTAAGCCACGGCTTGCCAAGAATAGCGTCGTAGCGAGTCAGGGGATACACAGTAAAGTGCTGTTCCTCACTGAAGCCCCCGACTGTCACCTTTAGCGTGCGTGTGGAAATCTGCGGGACCTCGCTGGTCGAGCCGTCCGCCAATGTTACGCTCAGCACTTCTGAGCTTGCATCCGTGTCAAGATGATGCTTTCGAACAAAACCGTCTGCAATGAAGTCATGCGTCGAACCGGAATCTATCAGCATCACTGCACGGCGACCGCCGATCTTTCCCTGTATGCGCAGTAGGTCGTGTTCAGGTTCATTGCCGACGCTGACGTTGCTGACATGACACCTTTCTGCAACGGGACAATTTCCTACCGCTATGGGTGTCTCCGGCTCCGTAGGTTCCTGGAGAGCAACGTCTTCAACCTCCAGAGCCCCGAACCGGTTAGCGACTGGTACGGGCGTGGGTGCTTGGGTCGTCGCCAGTAAGCGCACCCCCTTTCCTACTGGCGACCAGCGTTTGGGTAGCGCTGTCCACCCTCAGTACAGTCTTTAGCGAGGTGGCCTGGCTTCCTGCAAGCAAAGCAGTGTCCCATTGCTCGCAGTTGGACACGCTCTTGGTCCGTCAGGTTGCGGAGGCCCTGACCACGGAAGCTGGGCACGGAACGCGACTCTCTACTGGCTGGTGGCCCCGACGCCGGTGGCCCTGACGACTGCTCCACGGTGTTTGCTGTCATGACAGCTTGCTCCAGGGTACGTGGATGCTCACGCATGACCTGTCGCTGGATGTGCGGCACTTGACCCCTGATGAACAGCAGCGCTCTGGTGTGGTGGTCGATTTCCGGCACTTGCAGGCTGAGGCGAGTAAAAGCAGCAATGTATGCGTCCAGCGACCGGCGCTGCGCTGCGGAAATTAGTCCCATACG